CCATAGGGTTGTGAGACGTTGAGGGTCCCACATTATCTAGACAATCGGCTCAAAGATGGCGGTAAGGTTGTCAGCCTTACGCGCCGGCCGCGCTTTACTCCCCAGGAAAATTATTTAATTAATTCCTGGTACTCATTTCTGTTAGAGGCTGAGTAAATCCCAGGGCCTAGTGCGGCTGGAAGGGTTAGGTCAACTGAAAAAATCCAATGACCTCTTCGAGACTTCATCCCGCGACCTTCCGGCTTCCTGATTCATAATTTGTTGTGTTGACAGAAATTTTACGGAGCGTTATTTCTTTTGTAGGTGTTGGGGATTTATCTTGACTCTTCTGCTTATTTTTGCAATATTTTCCAATCCCAGTGGTTACAAAATTACGGTTAGTTCTAATCTTCCATACTTTGTAAACAAGCGTGAGTATGTACTTAAATTTATGAGAAAAGAGAAGACGTATTAAGAATGGCATCTGCATTATCTCATGCCAAAGCTCTGTCCAATTCTGATACAAAAACAGCATCGGATACGTGCGTAAGGAACTTACATGACTGAAGAGAGACCCCCTCGCCATCTTGTCACTGTCAGATCACAAACACCACTAGAGGCCTTTATTTTCACCCTCGATTTTAATACCACTTTCACTTTTGAGTGTTTATTTTGTTGTGTCCGACACTATTGCTGCGTGCACTGAGTGGATTCTGTCGTTTCAAGTTATAGCAGAAAATGCATTCCCTCATTATCAGTCATACGTTCGTCTTGATATTTTTCTTTGTTATCTACATAACCGAAATTAATGTTTCCGAACTAAAACATACAACACAAACAGTAGATCGCCTTACGGAAGTATTCCCCTCTATTTTATAGATGAACCTGAACACTTACATTCGAAATGGAGCGCACGACAGTGTCATGTAGCATGTAGTAAGACAAATCCTGTCACGGTTTCTAACGCGCTGCTTCGCATTTCAGCATTCCTTTACACGTGAGGATAGGCACTGCCCAGAATGGCCTAATGGGAGAGCCGCCACTGGAAAATATGTTCCTCACTCCACTTTCTTGTTTATAAGGTTACAAAGCCGCTACTGTTCGCTAAAACCTCTTGGATTTCTGTCTACGAAAATGACAGAATGCCTTGTTTGAAAATAAATTGATTATGGTCTTTTCCCTTGAGGTTTCATGAATAGAATGTTTCGTGCATTTCTAAAATCCACTGTTCCCTGTTGCTGAGACTGTGTACCAGCATCTGTTGCAGACCGAGGCTTTCTGTGACACTTCATTATATGCTAGCTCAAAGCTGTTTCGAGCCAATGCACATTTAACGAAGGTCCAATAAAACATGTTTTCATGTTTGCCCGTTCTTGTTTCGCTGGCGTCCATTTTGGCCAGCAACTGTTCCATCATCTGTTGCATTTAAATAGTACGGCGATTTAACTTTGCAGTTTCCAGTCCGACAACTTCTGACACCATATTGTCACGATTTATGTGTGTGACTGTAGACGGGGTATGGACTGGGAATGGATTTATTGACTACTTATATACACCACTTGGAGCTACACTGCATAGTACACTGTTACACACACACTACGGTATAACAGTCAGACATCCATTCGCCCAAGCCCGTTTCCCCCAATCGACATGTCGTAGAAGAAAATGATATATACTCTTGAAGTGCCAAATTCGAAAAATACGCCATTTAATTGGTGGAATGCAGTTTTGTATTTACGACTTGCCCTACAAGAATCCTGCTCTGTAGGTCATAAAATGACGCGTGTTAAAGTCGAAGAATCTAGAGACGTTAAATTGAAGTAGCGCCCACGAACAACAAGAACAATTTCAGAATTCCAATGCAACTTTTTCTTCATGGCCACAATAATATATACATGTATAGGTATAAAGTAAAGTAAAGCTATCCCTGTAACAGGCCGTCAAGGCCCATAGGGTTGTGAGACGTTGAGGGTCCCATATTATCTAGACAGTCGGCTCAAAGATGGCGGTAAGGTTGTCAGCCTTACGCGCCGGCCGCGCTTCACTCTCCTGGAAAATTATTTAATTAATTCCTGGTACTCATTTCTGTTAGAGGCTGAGTCATATATATATATAATGCAATTACAGAAGGAAATGCCTAATTACATTTTACAAACAATTGAGTTGTATGAAATATAAATATAGAATGAGTGGCGAAATGAACATTGTTTACAGTCAAATATGTGGTGCATAAAGGCACAAGTTGGACCACTGAGGCTCCCGGCGAGGCCGAGAACTTCCAAGTCATATGAATAAAACCCTGGCCTCTGTGAAGTTCATCTTTACTGTTCAGCAAACGTATCAAGAATACACGTGCAAATGAGAAATGTGAAATCGTAAGGTACGTTAAAGCTATTTACTCCAGACTTCCGTAAACACATTCTTGTTATTGCTGGAGTGAAGAAACGGCCACAGCGCGCAGGATGACTTCTCTTCCCTGCACTAGTCCGTTAGGGACCGAACCAGGTAACAAGTAAAATGTTGGTATAGTAAATGTTAAGCTCGAGCAGTCTTGAGCATTTATGCAATGGTGCTGCGACCCATGCGCACAAGCTTATAATAATAAACGTGTATTGCGCACGATGCGCACGACTTAGAGCATTTACCCTCCCGCAGAGAACTGCATGTTAGTACCGCGTGATAAAAACTGTCCTTACTGAAGAAGAAATAAATCTATGATAGTGAGAGGTCGGCTACAAACACGGTCCTATTCGAAACATTAACTTTTCTGAGCGTTTTCACGAAACATTTCTTGTTACAGACCATGACAAATTGCAGCCATTTTATGTGATTTCACGTTCTCACGGCGGTGATTATGAAGAATATTTGTATTATTTTCTGGCATGTTACACCGTGTAGTCTGGTACAAACCCACCAGCGTTCCGGGGGAGAATACTACCGCCGCCTTCAGGGTCGGGGTATAAGCAAAATATCAAGGGCCCTAATTCTTAGACCCTGAAGATATAGGCAGTACACTCCTCCGAAAAAATCGGTAAACTAACAGACCACATGACGTAACACTCCAGAAAATAGTACTTCTTATATACATTTATTTAGAACATGCTTGTACTTCTATTTGGATTAGGGAACGTACGTCTTTATGGCACAGCAAAATTGGAAACGTGAGAGAAAAAGCAAGTATATTGTACACCTCCCCAATAATGTATTTTCACAACATCAGCAGTGGCAACTGCAATTGGTTATGGTCTGTAAGAAAAAACTCCTTTTACTGAATCCTCGAAAGGGCTGAACAAATCCAGCAGAACTATCACTGGTAGCAAATACGAGTATGAAGGCGGCCTAACTCCTTCCGTTCCATGTATTAGGATAATTACTTATCTAAATATAGATGTAATTACTATTAACGGGCAGACATTTAGACCAAATGCAGCTCAAGGTGTGTGTTGTTTGATTTTTATTTTCCCAAGACACATCCGTGCAATCCGAACCTGTCAAATGCCCGTAAATGAAACAGCATCACACCCAGACTATCTGTTATATAAACCCAGGCTTTCACGCATGCTGAAGGAGCGGTCGCTGTTTGTCAACGTCAAGTTATTTTCCGCAGTTAAGATATCCCACTTTCTCTTCCCCGTTACCCACCCCCTCGTTTAAAATAGATGCACCGCTTACATATCTATTTGAATCTGATATTTAAGACGCTTCAAGAGGTTTGTACCGATGCTCTCAAATTTCCCACGAGAGACAATTACTGCATTTGTGGTGTAAAAGCGTGTAGCGTGGTAGGCAACTACTGACGTTTCAGGGACCCAAGATGCCTCCAGCTCCCACAATGGAAATGGAGACAGCGCATTCTATAAAACATCAGTAACAATCTACCAGACTAGACGGCGTCACACTCCAAAAGACTAGCGTTCGCAATTAACGCCGCTAGAAGCTAAAATCTCGCATTGTTCTGGGAGAGCTGTTTAATTCAGTTTTTGATTATGAGTAAAGTTATATTATGTTGTAGAAGGCTCTTGCCATGCACAAACGCAGAAGCTGAAGTGTTACCAATCGCCACTAGGCCTCCTGTCATTTTCTTCATCATCATACTTAATACTTCAAATTACTTAACCGCTATTACAGAGCTTAAACATTAATAATTTTCCTGCCACAAATCTCAAGTAACGGATACACATCTCAGCACGATGTCTGCAATACCTCTGCGCACACCTGCCCAAAGAGCCCTTTTCAGAAAGGACAATGAAATTGATGAACACACTTAGAACTCATTCTGAATCAAACTCTTCCCTTATTGACTCCTATATATATAGTATAACGCCGTGTTGTCTGGTAAAGGTTAACCGACGTTTCTGAGGAACATACCGCTTCCTTCTTCATGGCGGAGGCGATTATTCCTTTGAGACAAGTTGACCTTCACTGGACTACAATGCTTTATATACCGAGATTGTATATCTTGAAGCTCTTTAGTGTTTCTTCTTAGTCCTGTAATCTTCAGGTATTACTTTGTGCTTATATTACGCAGTTAAGACTAACAATGTTGTACTTCTTTCGGTAGTGGAAATTCTGGAATTCGAAAATAAGACTTAATTTCCCAAAGGAAGAACTACACTTCATTAAATAAATTAAATTACAATTCTTACAGATTTCCAAATTTATGCTGAATTATTCAGAACCATGGAAATATTTTGACATGGGGCTGCGCCCACACGTGACCAGTTACCCCTGTCTTCTTCGGCGTATTTCTCATTACAATAGAGAATGGGGAGACGCGAAGTTTGAGCAAAGAGTGACGCATCGCAAAATAAATGTCACTCTCCAGGATTTATTCAGTATTTTATGAAACCGCACGAGACTGGCAGTTGTATTGACTGTTGAGAGGTCTGGAGAGAAGTGAAAACGTCCGCATACAAATGCGCTCCAGTCACGCAGCTCCGCTTTTATCTCATCAAAATGCTTTTCGTTTTAACAAATGTGACCTGTAATTTGCGTGGGAATCGACCCCAGATGCATGTGCCTCTGTTGTCCCCATATTCCAAAACTTGTGTCATGCTTTACTTGTTCATAACACAGAGCGAAGAAACTTTCAGACTTTTCTCGGTAATGTCCTTATATTACATTTTATTTAACAGACTTACAAGGTAATTTCAGAAAAAAAAGTTATAAGCACATTTCAGTATAACGACAAGCAAAGTTTAGGCCTATGGACACGAGTCCAAAAACGAAAACAACACAAAACTTTTCGACATGTTAACCTTTACTCATGAAGACGAAGTGCTGATATAAAACAGGGCACTGAACCATGGAACTACGCAATTCAGGCGTATGAAATGAAATGTACACCAACGGCCACCCACAGTCAACACGCACAACAAACTCTTTAACGATGAGCGCCGTATCCCAACTGAAAGCAATTAATCGTTACCTTCAACACTATAAAAGAAGAAAGCAGTCTTTTGGGATGAGGCGCCATGTAGATATTGTGTTAACCGACGTTTCGGAGGAACGAATCGCCTCAATCTTCAGGGTAGAAGACAAGAGATCCGCGAGCGAAACAGCGTGAGCAGTTGCAACAGTCTGAAATCTGAAGATGGAGGCGATACGTTCCTTCGAAACTTCGGTTAACACAATATCTACACCGCGCTTCATCCCAGAAGATTGCTTTCTTCATAGTAACGGCCGTGACAACATCAAATCTTACACTATAAAAGAATATTACAGTCTAGACATTGAACATAAAAACAAGTTTCCGCTTTATTTCGTCTGATGACGACTGTCACACAGCGAATCATTAATAACAGACGAAACAAAAGAATTGTTGGCCTCGTTTGCTCACATTAGTAAGACATTGTTACGTTGCCTTTACACAAGTAAGGCCAATTCGGCGTGTATAGTGGCCTATTCAGAGTCTAAGTAGACCTTTTTGTAGAGATCTGTTGTTAGCTGATTGACTGACGCTGGAGTAATTGCCAGGATTGTGAAAAGTTGAACCGTAAAATTATGTGTGACCATGACTCTGGGATAGAATTGGATAAGAGAAGATACCCTCATGTAACTGACATCCATGGCTTGTAGTAGGTTATCAAATTTAAGAGCTTAACCCATTAAATTTGGTGTCATTCCTCTTTCAACGCAATTACAATTTTGACCTATTTCTTTGTCCGCAAAATTGAAGAATATTCGCGATAGGTCAATCGGTATAAAGTCGAAAATATGGGCTGAATAGCCGAGGAATCGGGGTTCGGTTCCTGACGAGGGTAGGAGTTTTTTAAAACCCCGTGTCTAATCACTAAACACGTGACAGTATGTAACATGCCTGCAATAGGCACAATATTTAAACATGACATTAGTAACATATACCTGAGTCCAAAATCTGTAACTTATCTGTAAGCATCTCAGTAAGATACTGCACCTCTACATGACGCCGCAGCTCATGTTTAGTTTGCCTCCTTCCGTCCATCTATTTCTACAGGCTTCCTCACTCTGGTCAGATCGTTCGAATCGAGGTCAAGCATAAACACAATTTAGTGTTGTCTTTTAAATTATGTAACGACACTGTTTCAACTGCAGGATCTCTCTCCTGGCATTCCGGTGAACAACCCGAGCAATTCCAAAATGAAGAGCCCTCGTAGTGGTCAGCTTCCTATCCGAATTCGAATCAGATCTCCCGAAATCAGGTTTGTGAGGTTTGGGCTATTCAGCTCAACGTGTCCGTCGTCAGCATGGAATGATATGCCCTTAGTTTGTAAACAGAGGAGGCAGTCCTAAAGCATGGAGGATATAGACGAATATATTGTGGCGTAGAGACCCGTTGCTGGGCAGAGGCCTCGAAAAGGACGAGTATAACCGTTGCTGCGCAATAGGCCTATTTCTAAGTAACAGCCGGTAAACACGTTCTCGCGGAAACGATAACCAGTCTATTGCTAGGCAACCTGCCATAACAATAGGAGAATTGTTGGAGGCAGTGTCTTCTGTTGGGTCCGCCCTGAGGTTATATAATGAGGACACCAGCCGAGCTGCAACCAGAATTGTCAACAGTCGAGTTCAGTGAAGTGAAGTGAAATAGCTGGTTGTTGAAAATTCTGTTGACAAAGATTTCAGCTGAATTTCCGCCTGTGAAAAGAAGACCAGGAGGTTGGAGTGAAATGGCCGCCAGCCTGGAACCCAGTTAGTTGAGTTCTGCACTGGCGGCTGTGACAAGAGGACCTGCGTGCGGGAAGCTGAAGACTGTCCCTCGATAGAAACCGTTGCCAGGAAGCGGTTATTAGAAACTGTAATAGACTGAGGACACTAGCCTGTCTATGTCAGTGATCGGTAAAGCGTAGTTCCGAGTGGTGTACAAAGTGGTCAATAAATCCATTCACCATTCCATACCCCGTCTATAGTCACACCCCTAAATCATAGACAGCTAACAAGAGATGGTATTCCAGTTTTGGGGTTGGGCGGAGAACTGAAACACGCCCTCCCCAGT